TGGCCGGACCAGCCCGGCCCCAGCCCTGATTCACCCGCACCCCCCCGCGCCGTGACCTCCCCCTATGCCCCCCCCGGGGCTGCCCTGTCCCTGAGCCCCGGAGCAGCAGCCCTTTTCCTGGAGGTGGTGGCGCAGGTGTGGGACCAGAAAGATGTTCTCAGCCCTGAAGAAGCTGGTGGGCTCGGACCAGACTCCGGTCAGAGACAAGAATATCCCTGCGGGGCTGCAGTCCATGAACCAGGCTCTGCAGAGGAGGTTTGCCAAGGGAGTCCAGTATAACAGTGAGTCGGAGCCCGGCTTCGGGGGGTCTGTCGGGGGGCACAGCCAGCCCCGGGCGGGAGGCAAGCCGCATTGGTCCATCCCATCTGATGCCCCATAGCATGCCCAGGGACCCCAGTGGGACTGCGAAATGCAGATGCTTTCGTTGTGCACGGTGGTGCTTTTGCCAGTATTTGCCGAAAGCGAAGTCTGCAATTAAATGTTAGAGCTTGCAGAAGCGTGGGAGGAGTAAGGGATGGGAAACTTTTATCTTTCTGTGCGGGACTTGGGAACCTGTAGTGCAGCAGTGTCCCCAGTCAGCAGATGGCCTGAACGGCTGCCTGCGTTCCGCTGACTGTGGCACAAGAGTCGTTCCTTGTAAATCAATTTTTGTCAGTTAAAGCATCAAGAGGGTAGCTCCCCTGAGTGTGTGGGTGACCTTCCCTGCAGCCCAGGATAATGGTATTTATAATTAAGCTCTAGTGGTGATATGATAAGGGTCTATTGAAAAGCTCTACTCTGCGAGGCTTTAGTAAAAGGTGAGTGATGTATATGCCTTTATGTGCCCTTGGTACATAATTTCATTCTATCTTTTCTGCAACCGATACATTTGCTCTTTTCTCAGGGAACGTTTTCAGAATTTTTTTCCTTTCAGTGTTGAGGCTTAGGGTTGTGTTTTTCCCTTGAAGCTCAGTAAAGGTTATTTCTAATATAATGTGTCAGGGGGGTACTGGATGAAATACATCCCAAAGTAACAGTTGTGAGATGGGGACAGTAGTTATGTCATGCTGGCTGAAAATAGAGGTGGTACCAGAGAGCACTGCGAGTATCAGCTTGTCTGTGTGGATCCAGGCAGGCAGTGAAGTCGGATTGCAGAAGGCCGGGAGATTGGCAGTTGGGAGAGAGACTGATTTGTAAACGTGGCACTGAATAATTTCTGTAAAGGCACACGTGTTGGAGGAATAAAACTTATGTTGGATCTTAATCTGAAAAAGAACGTGAAGGGAGAGGTTAGCACTTTGGGGTTTGGGGCTTTTCTTGCTTTGTTTAGTATTATCACTATTGACTGTGCTTTTGAACTGATATGTTTTGAAGCTCTCTGCTTTACTAGGGAGATCATTTGGTGCTTTTATCCATAGCATATCTGTTAGATATGCCAGTAGTACTTAATTTAGAGAATTAGTGTCTTAGCAAGCAGTGATGAATGTGAACAGAAGCACAGTGTTGTTGTTAAGAGACTTGATTTCCAGTGAAAGATGGGGTGAGAATGAAACTATTGTGTCTTGGAATACATACTGCATTGTTAAGCCCGTACCTGGACATCTGCTAAAGACTCTTGATCTGTGCAGAGGCTTCGTGCAGCCCGCAGAGCAGAACACATCCACGTGCTTCACTGGTACATGTTTGAGATCAGATAGCTAATACCAGCTTGTGAATTAGTAAGAGAAAGGAGTTGATTTTACAGAAAGTGAATATTTGTGCTGTGGACAGTACGGATGAGCTGCATCCTGCTGGCACAGCAGTCGATGGGGACAACTCTTTGGTACGTGTTGACTGCATTGTCGACGAACCTGCGTGGATGTGTACCTGCTTGCCATTAATACAGCAAGGCCAAAAATGCCAACTGTAGCTTTGCTGCTTTTTGTCTCGTTACTGAAAGCCTCGGGAAAGCTTTTTGGTTTGTGCCCTGTTTTATCAGGATTTGTGTTCTAGTTACTGCTTTCATATCTGGAATAAAACTGCAGCTTTCTGTCATTGCCTTAAGGGAAGCTTTCCAATCTCCATAGTAACTCTTCCCAGGAACACTGTTATATAATATTTATAGGAGATACAGGCAGGCTTACGAAAGGGCTTCGAAGTACCCTACATAGCCACGGCACTGGGTAGATGGGGTAGGTTCCAGCACGGTGAGGTTGTGGTCTCAGCTGAAGGTGGGCTGTGAAGGAATGTCATTACAAGGGCCATTGGTTAGGAAGGGCAGAGCTGCAAATCCTGTGCATTGCCAATGCCCCTTTCTTAGCAAATATATGACATTCAGCAGAGGAGTGCAACATGTGTTTTGTAGCCACCGTTAACACACACAGATCTTTAAAACTCCTCCGTTCCCCTGGTGCTGCCTGGACCTAAACCAAAGAGTGCTGTGGTGACTGGTTTTACAGAAATGTTTCCTTGCTTTCATAGACCATTACTGATTGTGAACTGAAGCCTGTTTCCTTCCCAGAAATATATTTAGTGTGCTGAGAATGCCTTGAGTTGCTTGCTGATAAAGTGGGCAGCAAATGGCTGGGACATGGGCCTTATCACCTGGCTCTTGGTGCCCCTCTGCGGGGCTCAGAACAGGCCGTGCTGTGCCAGCCTTCACGGCTGTCAAGTATATTTGTAACCAGACAGTCCCCCCGTTCGAGGTGATACTGAAGATTGTGTGGTGTTTTAATGGTACTGAGGATTACAAGCACTGGATAGCATGCACCTCTAAGTTGAACCGAAATTATTTGTTTTGATGGTCTCTCTCCCACTCACTTAAGTTTTCAAAAGGAGGAGTGTTGCAGGGTGGGTACGTTTAGATTTCTAATGAAATGATGAGAGCAAAGGCTAGTATTATCCCTCAGCAGCAGTCATTTCCTTTGCATGGGACATCCTATTTCGAAACAAAAGCATTTTCATACTGCATTCCCAACACACGCACTCCTTATTTGCTCTCTTTGTCATCTGCATGGAGCTCCTGTGTTTTACATACTTAGGCCCAAATAACACCAGAGTTCCCAGAGCACTGTGGAAGGTACAGAGATGAAAATGATGTGGGTCTGTACCATATATGTAATGGCTCAGATGTTTATGGGAGACCACAGTTCCAAGTATGGGGAAACCAATCTTTGTAAAAACTTGCTTTTTTTTTCCTGCTTGGGATAGCCTGAACTTGGATCAGGTCTGCTGCATCACTGTTTGGATAGGTGTGCTGGCCAAGGGAGGCCAGAGCGAGTAGGCTCGGTGGAGAAAGAGTGAGGTGAATCTCATTCCTTTGGCAGCAGGGCTTGTTTAAACAAATTACCAGACAAATTACAGAAGGAAGTACCAGCACCAGGTTACTCAAATGTGAAAGTTTATGTAAGGCAATGATGGGCAAACTAGGGTGAAATGAATGGTTCTGGCTGGATTACACTGGCAAGAGGATCCCCTGGGAGTTATCCGTTGATGATCAGTGACGGGAGCAAAAGACATGGAAGTGCTAAAGGTTCAGATCCATCCGTCCTGTTGCCCTGAACATGGTACGCCTTCTGCTCTGGGCTTTATTCTTAATGCTGCATCCAGTGTGCACACCACCCGACAAACCCCAACGCTGTGTATGCCTGGAGCGTGGGTTGCTCTCCTCCTGTGAGCTGCAGGCCTGCCCTGAACCGTTACCAGTGCTGAAATACCAAAGTCAGTAGCTCTAAGAATTCCCCCCAGTCCCTCCCCTTATTACTCTTCTGCCTAAAATGTGCATTAAAAGACAAAACTTAATACTGTGTATCCTTTTGGTAATCAATATAGTCCTCACTTCCTTTGTGGTGTTTTAGCGTAGTAGTTCCCAGATTCTGATTGTAGTTTTAAGTATTTTCATTCAGCACTACTCCCAAAAGAAAGGCTTCCCCTCTTCCTGCTGCTTCCCACATTCTCATGTTCTGCTACTGCTGACGCAGGTGTTTGTGCAACTTGTGGCAAACCTGCTTTGACTGCTGTCTGGCCTGTTCCCCCTGGGAAGTGTGCCTGGGGGTGTCTGCAGATCAGGTGTGCTGCTTTTGGCAGCAGAACCAGCTTAAAGCATTTGAATTGCAGCCTTGTAGTCACAGTCCCAAAGACCTTAGTGAGGGCAAGGTTGTGACCCTCCATATGAGGATTATTAGCAGAGAACTTTGGGCACCTTTGCTGCAGGGTCTGAGATCCTTAGTTGCTGCAGTGTCCTGGAGGAATATGGGCAGAGCTGGGAGTTCCTGATTCCTAGTTCTGAGTTGGTCTGAGACCTACTCTCTGGGCCTGTATCTTCACCGCTCTGCTTCCATTTCCCCATCTGGAGAATGGAAATCCCTCTATTTTTCCTGATGCAGTGACAATATGAATAAAATGATTGGTTTGATCTATTCCCCATCCCTACCCTTCTTCCCACAGATAATTCTCCTGTCTTTTCTACAAATCCATGGCTGTTTGCAGTAAGTACTGATTTAACTTACAATCAAAATAAGGCAGCAATTGTTACTGTCCTGTAGGTAACAGTACTAACCTCACCCATAATTACTCGTCCTCTTTCCACATTCAGACACTGCCCAGGCCTGTGATGTACCTGTCTGGCTGTGCCCTGAAGCTCACTCAGCTCTTCTGTCTTGCAGATGCCTGTCATTGAGTACGGCTGCCGCAGCCAAAGTCCCAAATACAGATTTTGTTTTGCTAAAAATTATTTACATCACCTGCCTTCTTCCTGTTCTGTTTTTAAAGACTTTTTCTTTCTTCAGGAAAAAAGTCAGTGAAAACTCATGCACTATGTAGGAGGAAAGAGATCCTAACATGGAGAGTGCTGAAGCTGGAAAGGGCCGTTGGACCTGTTCAAACTGAGTATGTGGTGCCACAAGCACCCTATGTTGATCTAAATGTGAGCTGCTCAGGGGTGGGGGTGATCTCCTTGCCACTCCAGCTGTGCCTCCCCTGTGCTGGTCCTGCTGCTCATGCAGCTGGGCCCTTGAGCTAGAGAAGAAAACTGAAAAGGAATAATTTCAGGGTCAGTTTTCAGCCAGTTCAGTTCCTTGATCCAACTCAATGTGTAGCTGCGTAAATAATGCTGTTGGCATTAGGAAAGTCCTGGGGGAGGTAAGATTGCCCCTTCTGGGAAGAGCTCACTGTCAAGTTGCCTGGGAGTGATCCTGAACGTGCACCTTGAGAGCAGCCTAACTATTTAAGGAAGGGTCTATTTGTCCCTTAAAACTCACTGTTAAAGTATCTCATGCTGCATTTCATGGGGGAATACAAATTTTTAAATGGCTCTCTAAGGTAGGCAGTGAGAACATTTAGAAAGGCTTGGGTTTTAAAGGCGACAAATAGAATCTCATTCTGTCTATGCCATGGACTTGCTGCATTAATTAAGAAAAATCAAAGGAATCCTCCATTGATTGTTTCACCATCTGTAAGTAGGAAACAGAATCACACACAAGGAGACAGGAAATGCAAAAAACGGTTTGTTGTCTCTGCAGAGATGCTCTGGGACCTGTAAGTGAAGTCAGCCTATAAATACTATGCTCATTTTTGCTTTTATTATCCTTTTGCTATTTTAATAAGTAACTTTGTAAAAGAATAAACAGCACTACCTCTCAGTGTACAAAACCAAAAGCACAGTGGAACTGCAACACAAAATTTCACCAGACAAAACTCTTCCACAGATTTTGCATATCTTGTCTGTTTTACCTTGAAGTTTACCTCTTAAACTTTTCTCTGAAATGCCTGCAATAACTCCTGATTTACAACAGAAGGCAGCCTTCAGTCTGAGATTTCCTTGCCCAAATGATGGTGCACAACCTAATGCTAATCACCTGAATCTGCCATTAGATGTCTCTAAGTGGCCCGTTTTCTAGGGGATGATAGCTCCTATTCAAAACACAAGCATAAAAATTCTGTTCAAGTCAGCTTACGTTTCCCAATAGCCTTGTGGTTGCCAAGGTAGAACAAGGATGCTATTAAAAAAAAAAAATCCTATAATGTAACAGAAAATTTAGAAAACACCGCGTACTGTTTTCAGAAAGAACAAGGTAACGTTAGGTTAGACTCTGGAAAGTTCATGGTATTAATTGCTACAGAAGTTACTTTGCCCGGTTGTGTACAGTTTATGATATTTTGGACACTTCCTTGGGAGGGTTTGAGTGAATTTCTCCATTGACTGACTTTCCTTGCTGCGGATACAAGCACATGTGCACAAGCACAGGCACGTGGTGGTGGATTGCCTCAGCTGCTGGGTGTGAGGCCAGTCGGTGGAAGTGGAGCTGTTGTGCCTTTACCCAAGATGGCAGTTTCCGAGAATGGCTTTGCCGAGTGCCATCAGTACACTCACACCTAAAACCAGCTAAGGGCTGGCTCCTGTGGTAGAGACTGTCCCTCTGACACACAGAGGACCTACAGAGATTCAGTTTCTCTTGGTTTTATTTCACTGTTATTTAAGTGAGTTTATTTCCCCAAAGGGACATGCTTGTTTTGGTTCAGTTTAGCTTGTTTCTAATGCATGTAAGATAGACTGGTTTTGATTTAATTTGAATCAAACTGTGGCCATCAACAGAGGCACTTTGGTGAATTTATCAGGGGCAGTTTAAGATAGACCCCTGTGAACGTAAACTACCTTGCCCCTTGTCCCTGCCAAAGATTGCGTCCTTACCTGAGACCATCTGGGCTGTGAGCTGGGGCAGCTGAAGAGCAATACATAATCTTGTTCTGCTTCCCCTGGAAAAGGGGATGCTGCCCCAGTGCAAGAAAGTTGGGGATAGCTGAGAGCGATGACAGCTTAACTCTGTGGTGATGTTCACCAGAAGCTGCCTCTCTGCTCTCCCAACACCATCCCAAAAGAACGGTTTCACCAGTGCTGGGGTTCAGAGCCACACCCCCGTGGGATGTAGGGAGCAGCACCTCCTAACACAGGACCCTGCCTAATCGGGTCAGCTGAGAACTGGTCCTTGAGCTTTCAGTGAGCAACCGGGTCTAGGAAGTGAGTAGGAGGCTGAGGGCAGACCTTATCACTCTCTACCTGAAAGGAGGTTGTAGCAAGGTGGGGGTCGGTCTTTTCTCCTAAGTAACAAGTGATAGGACAAGAGGAAGCAGCCTCAAGTTGTGCCAGGGGAGGTTTAGATTGGATATTAGGAAAAATTTCTTCACTGAAAGGGTTGTCAAGCTGGAACAGGCTGTCCAGGGAAGTGGTTGAGTCACCATCCCTGGAGGTACTTAAAAGACGTGTAAATGTGGCGCTTAGGGACATGATTTAGTGATGGACTTGGCAATGTTAGGTTAACAGTTGGACTCGATGATCTTAAAAGTCCTTTCCAACCTAAATGATTCTATGATTCTATTTTCTCAAGGAATGAGAAGTGTTTAGGGAGAAATGGGAATGATAGAGGAGGTAATTGAAGGAGAAGCCTGGCATAAAAGGCTAGCAGAGGAATAGGGTATGGCAGAGTGGGAGTAAGGGCTGGGTAAAGAAGGCAGGAGGATGGAAGGAGCAGAGACTTAGCTGGCTGAAGTTGTGCAGGTTCTGAAGATTCAATCTTGATGTTGGTTCTTTCTGCTGAGCTAGTGTGAATAGCTGAATAAACACTAATTTTAATGACTGAGGCTCATGTTTTTTAACAAACCCCATCATGCCTATGTAATATGGGAGAACTAATTACATCTGAATAATGCTTGCAAAAAGTTAACATGCTTTTCACAGCATTCTTTGATTTGTTTTTAATCAACTTTATTTGTCTGCTTGTTCTTTTCCCCAGTGAAAATTGTCATCCGAGGGGACAGGAACACTGGAAAAACCACACTCTGGCACCGACTGCAGGGAAAGAAATTTATTGAGGAATATATTCCAACTCAGGAGATCCAAGTCACCAGCATCCACTGGAATTATAAAAGTAAGATGGAAGAGGGTGGAGGGACTGACAGTCATGGGACAGTGCCTTGGGGGTAGAAATTCCACTGCAGTCTTGTTTGCTTCTTTCTTCTATGTCTGCTTGGGAGATAAAATGGTCTCTCATTACTCTTGTTATTTTAATTTTTTATTCACAGTTTCTCAGTCATGGTTTTAATAACTTTACTCAGAAACTATGTAAGTGCTAAAGGATAGGTCTTTGGAAGCTGCAATTCAAGTGAAGTGTTTAATAGGTGATCCAAAAGATTTGAAATATTTGTGATATGCTTGACTTGTTAATGAAAACAGGTTTATTATGGAAATCTGTCTCTGATGCTAACCCTGCTTTTGGTGTTACTGTGTTGTATAGAAGTGAATAGCATGGTGCAAACTAGTTTTTTACTGATTAAAATATAAAGAGCATCCTGTAACTGGTGAAGGTGATGTTTTAAAAATTATTGTAGTATTAACTCTAGGCTGACTTACTGAAGCACAGAAGTATCTTATCAGTAGCTTTTTTTAAGTGCTTGTTTGAGTCTGAGAGATGAGGTGTGAATTTTTTTTATTTTCCCCATCTGGTCTGACAGTATCAAGTGGCTGTGAAAGCCCTGGATCTCCCCTGGAAAAGACACTGCAGGCATTGAAATTGCATTAAGCTGTGATTCAACAGTGCATTAAGTCCAGCTTTCAGGTTCCTTGTCAAAAATGCCACAGCCTTGTGTGGTGACCTACTGATTCAACATGAACTTGCTCTGATTTTGGTTTAAAAAAAAAAGGTCAGCAGTTAGTTGTCATTATCAGATATTGTCCATCTGCACCACTCTGACCTTTTGTTGAATCAGGTACTCTCTGTCTCCTCACAGCTGGGAAAAAACCCCATGCAGTTTGGGTAAACACCAAATTGGGTACTTCGTCTAATTCACCAATCAAATTTATATTGCTGGATGATACCATGATGCCCAAGTCTCGTGAAAATGATCACAAAGCCAGTCAGCCCTGGGACAGTGCTCTCTCAATCTCCTTTGTCTTCATAGGCTTCAGCGCAAGGACAGCGAGCAGATACTGCTGCTGTTTGTTCACAGGGAGCCGGTAACCAGAGTTCTGGAGACTCTCATGCCCTTATGAAGCAGGCTTCCTCGAGTCACCCCTCTCTTGACAAAGGTTGAAAAGGTTTTTAAGGATGGATGGTTGTGATTTGCCTTGGATGTGGGAGAGAAACAGGTCATCCTTGCTCAGTGCAGCTAGTGGTTTTCTCTCGTTCAGGATCTGATGTTGAGCTAAGCCTGATTTTCATGTTCACAGGTTTTCATGTTCTTTCACAGGGACTTTCCATATGACCGTGATGCAAAGGTGTGCCTGTTAGCTTCTACATTTCTTCATAAAGTATTTTTCTTTTGGATACCCTCTTCCTGATGTTCTGCCTACCAACCAGCCCAAGGCATTGACAGATCTGCAGTGCTCATGCAGCAGTGTTCCCCATCTGCAGCAAAACCTCTGGCATGTTGTATTTTAGCTGTGGCATCCTTCCCCCACACTCCTCTTCTCAGAATATCAGCACATCAGTTATTGATGTGTAAACATAGAGCTTACAAGCTGTTGGATGATGGAAACTATCTCCAAAATCAAACTTGAATGCTTCAGCCTGAAGAGACTTAGACCAGAGTAAGAAATGAAATACCTCTTTCTTAGATATCCAAGTCTAAAGGGTGCACTGAATGTTAACTGTGGTTTTCTGCAGTATCATAGGTAAAAACTTCAGAATTCAGTTTCCTCTCCAATCAGAGTAGGTAATACAAGTGCTGTTTGTAAATACAGCCTGGGAGTCTGGCATTTGATTTCTAAGAGTCTTATTTATACCTAATTGTTTTTGTATACATGAACAGGTATACAAAATGCACGTATACAGGTTTTTGTGTACAAGCAAAAAGGTGTTTGGAGACTGTCCACGTATAGAAAAATCCAGTCATCTTGCATGTTTCTGCATATTTTAGGGATTGTATGTTCTTTTACTGAGCTGAGGCTTAGGTACTGGCTTTTTCAACACGGATGCAATCCTGGGGTAGAAAACAGCTACACATGAGGCTGGCTTTTGCTGTATGTTGGTAACTGCAGGTGTTTTTGTTATTTCTAGTGCTTAGTTCTAACATTTGTAAGATGTGTTTCTGTAGAGCTTGCTGGTTAGAGTTGACAGCCATGTGTACATATGGGGATGGACTTTTCTCAAGGTGAAGTGTTGCCAAGCTAGTCTAAGTATCTGGGAGGCTATACATGAAATTGTGCCTTTGATTTGTGTTTCTTTTACATTGTAAAACACTGTATTATTTTCTTAGTAATAATTTCCAGCGGTATAGGCAATTCTCCGTTGACCCTCTTAAAACTTTTTTAAAAAATAACCCCCTTTTTTAAAAACACTATAAGGTATGTTTCCTGCTGTGAAAACGTTCCATCCAAGATGGGTGATGTGGGCACTCTGAGAAAATTGGCTCAGATCTAATTACCACCCTGTTGGCTGAGTTAATCTGTAGAGGAAAAATAAAGTTTGTTTTTCCTGTGATCATGCTCTCAAGCTACCTTGAATAAACATTATGAGGTAGCTGGCAGCAAATATTTATGGATGTTAATTAAATATTGAGGGATTCTTATATTGCCTGGTATTAGAAGATTTACATTTTAGATGTGGAACATACCACCTTGTCATATCTTCAGAAATTTTATACTGGAGGAATTAATAAAAGGAGGGGAATTTGAGTTATTTCTTCCTACTCAGAATGAACAAAATTACTTTTCTGTGCCAATTGTCTCTATAATGGATAATTGTAATTTTTGCGGCCAGGTAAGGAGTTACCATTCCTGACCCTAATGTACACTTTTTTAGATTATACTAGTCACTAATTTTATTCTGTGTTTGGCAGTCTCAGAAAGGAAGTCTGAAATAAAAATTGGCAAATACTTTTGTTCAGATACTTTGAATAGTTTATAGATGGGTGTGAGGAATGGCAGAGCTGCTCTGCTCTGTAGGATTTGTGATCCAAAGCGTATGAAGTGAATCATGTAATTGCATGAGAGTAAATATGTCTGAGGGCCTGTAAATTCCTGGTGATGAACCCACCCATAAAGCAATGATTCTTATTTTTAAATGAGCTTTCTTGCAATTGGAGTCTTCTCACACCTCTCCACTGTTTTCTGGGAAAGCAACGTCTTAGTGTGCCACAGGCTACCGAGTACTTAGCAAAATAGCAACTGAGTACAGATCTTTTGAGTGGTTTGATCCATGGTTTATGCTAATCCAAGTTAGAGTTAAAAGGATGAATTGGCACTCTTTTTGCTGTGACACGCCTTCCAAAGTCCTTAAGGTGAAGTGCTGCTGTGTATGAGTCAACACAGCAGCGCTAAAGTAGTTATCCTCTTGTGTGTTCAGGATAATCAGGAATGAAGCTGGTGATGAACAGGAAGAACTTACTGGCTATGAGCTAGCAGGAGCACTGGTGCTAAGCGGAAAAAAAAACCTGCGGAAAAACGGTTTTCTTGGATCTCGTGCAGTCAGTTTCTTTGTAGAATTGTGTGCTTGCCCTCAGATAAAAGGGTGTAGAGCAGGTCTTTCTGGGTCAAACGGTTCAACTCCTCAGCTATCTGGGAGTGCTGCTGCTCAGCAGGATGTCAGTACTGCAGAAATTACTCAGCAGGAGAACAAATCTTAACTGAGGGTGCATTTCATGTTAGGGTGAGAAGGACGAGATCTCTGGAGCTCGGGAGCAAAGTCCCAGTGCTAGGTACCAGGTCACCTCCTAGGAGAGCACTGCATGTCACCCCAAGGGCTTGCTTTTCTGAAATGGGGTTCCAGCTTCTCCGTGGAAGCCCCTTGTTTATGCGTATATGCTGCTTCACATGGAGCTGCTGGAAAGAACGAGCAGCCTTCTGGACTCTGCCTGTGCCCCTGCAAAGTTTGCCTTTCTGAGAAAGGAAAACATCTCCAGTCCTTTTGCAGGAAGTCTTGACTGTCGAAAGGTGCCAGGATTGACTTTGCTGGTCTGTCCGTCCCCTTGTCCTTCAGGGACAGCAGCAGCACTGCCAGTCCCAGCTGCAAGGTATGAATTTGAGGGCAGACCTCCACTAGCTGATCTGTGTCCCAGCACCTGCAGAGTCACGGCGCACCCTGAACAGACCACGGACTCGAGCAGCCCATGTCACAGGGAGAGCACCCTGCTGTGCCAGTGCCTGGGTATGAGGAGCCAGCCGTACAGCTGGGTGCCAGGCGAGTGAGTAATGGGGAGTGGTTGGACTTTAGCCGTACCTGGCTTGATGGTCTGTAGAAATATTCAGGGACAGAATTAATTTGGAGAGTTTAATGGTTTGAGCAGAGGTTTTAGGGCTGCAGGCTGCTGTACGTCTGTTGTGTTTTCAGTCCCATTGGAGCCCATGCAGCGGCGGGGCTGAGCCTGGGCAAGTCTCCTGTTTGTCCTGTGCCCCACTGCCCTGCTGGCAAAGTGGATGATAAGCGGGAGTTGCTATGAGGAAAAACAGAGGCTGCTTTTGCTTCATGCAAAATGTAAAAAAGGATCTTTCTCCAGAAGCAGAGGATGAAAGTTTTCCTTTATTCATAATCTGTCTTTACAACATTTTGAAACATTTAACAACAGTGAATTCTGTAGAGGACATGTTTCCTGGCTTGACAGTGATGCTTAGCTAAATTCTCATGCCATCCTATGAGATTATTTTCTACTCTGAGACATTATCCTCCTATTCCATTGCTTTATGTTCAGAGCTGCTTAAAGTACAAGCTTTTGCTTTGTAGCCTGTAGCATTTCCAAAAAGTACCTGTTTCATGGAACAACTTCATGAAGATCAGACTGCTTATTTGGATTCAATAGAAACATCTAACCAAAGCTGCCCATCCCTCGTGCCATCTGAAAGTTAAGCTGCTAGCTGTCAGTACCAGCAGTAGTGTCTCTGTAGTTAGAATTCCGGTTGTCTTGCTTCAGATTTTAGCAACTCAAATATATGTTGCTGCTTATAATTTATTGGTGCTGCAACTCATTAAGAGGCAAAATTGCTAGTAATATCTTATTTTTCACAAAATGCAACTTGAAATTTGCAGAGAGAATGGATTTCTGTAGCAGCAGGGCTGTCTGCACTGTTTGTCACGTTTACATAAAGATGCTATTAGTGAGGTTGATCTTCCCTAAATGTGTATACTTCTTTTCTTCAGTTGTGTGCTTTGCTTATAGACCAGACTTTATTCTCCAAATTAAATTTATATCTTTTTTGAAAGAATATGGAAACCTCTGTATGATATGAAAAGAATCTACACAAAATATTTATAACATGTTTCAAATCTGACATAAAACATCAAGGAAATCCAGCTTATCACTTATGTGACTAAGTCTTTAAGAAGTTCTTTAGATAGCACAGTCTTGGTGTACAACTTGGACCTTCAACAGCAGGCCGCCTTCTTGTTATGTTTGGGTTTTCTTTTAACTCACTCAAAAATTACTTTTCTTTTGACATTCATCTCCTGTTTTGACAATGTTGGCTTTGGGTTAGGCTCTCTGTGGTGAGCATTGAGTGTTGGTCATTTTTCTGAAACTCTCTTCTAACACTTTGTGTTCTTATTGTGCTTTTAGCCACTGACGATATTGTTAAAGTTGAAGTCTGGGATGTAGTTGACAAAGGTAAGATTTATAACTTCCTTTCTAATGGAGATTCTTCATTGTTCTTTCTCAATTTTAATTAAAAACTTACATGGAATTCAGAAATATCTGCTTACTTCTACTTTAGAAAAACATCTGTACTTACTTTTTTCAAGTGCATGGATGTTACTTTCTGAAAAAAATATGGAAAGGAGAGTGGAGTCTCCTATGCTAGAGCCCATTACTTGGAATCTGAACTTCAGATCAAACCCAATATTCAGAAGCAGTTGTTTCATGTGCTCTGTGACAGATGAAATAGCCTGCTGCTTAGTGTGTTCAGATTCTCTGAACTTTATTATAAACTTCATCTTTTCCCCTTTATAGTTTTATATGTGTTTAGACAGCTACTGAATTCTTTGTTCTGTTTATAAAGGTTCTAGCTGAGCTGTTTTTGTAAAGGAATGCTATTGTTAAATTGATAAAATGTTATCTGCAGTGAATAGTGTATGCAGGAGGGAAGGACAAAAGAGAAGCCAATTACTTAAATTCACTTGGGACAGAAAATGCAATATATTTAATCCAAAATCTTTTCTAAATGCTTAGCCAAGAAAAGTATTATAATGTATAAATACATTTCCATTAGTTTTCAATTTTTGTCAGAGTATGAAGTTCTATTTTATAAAGAATAAAAATAAACCCCCAAAACATATGTGAAGATGCAATCTGGATGCAGTGCAAATCTGGATGCAGTGGAATCTGTTGCTAGAAGGGGTTGGGGTTCAGGTGTAAATCTTAACAGCCCATTCTGTAGCTCCAAATGGAGATACTGTTTGGTTTTTAAGAGGCATTTTGTACAAGCCAGGCACCTGGTTTAAAGTGCAAGTATGGTCAGGAAAGCAGCTCTACAAGTGAGCATCTCTTGCTCTGTGGATTGTGCTCCTTGTTTGTGTGTTTCTGTTGGTCAAATCTATTGACCACAGTCATTGAAACTTAAACTTTTATGGTTTGGCTGCTGCTACCTTTCCTGTAGCCTTAGCTAGAATCTGTGCTGGCATGCATTCCTCGCAGAACTGTATCCAAGGTGCACTACCTCTGTTGTACCACCTGTGCAACTTACACATGTGTTAACGCTGAAAAATAAGAAGATAAGTACAATAAGGAGTGGGAAAGGGAGAAATTTAATTTTTCATGTTAGCTAAATTGTATTTAAAATAGTAAAAAAGAAAAGGTAATTAAAGATAGCAGCTCTAGTTCAGATGCATAATGGAGCCTTTAGGTTAAACTTGAGCCAGTAACTTTAAATAAAAATCCTGGGCACTTTATCTTTTTATTCTTTTAAAACCCAGTTTTCACAGTGTAGACAAAACCTTGCTTAGGTCAGAGTTAATGCTGAAGTCAATCTGATTACAGTTTGGCTTTCAGATCCGGGGATGACATGTGCAGGGCTGGAATCTGAGCAAAACATCTGTTTTCTCGCCGCCTTGCAACTTTGGTATGAATAGATAGACAGTTAATTTGGGAATCATGTGGTTCCAGCATTTATTTCTGTGAATAGCTTCTCTGAGCAGAGTCATCTTCTCAACTAGAGACTTGTCACTTTTTTGGCAGAACGGATTGGATTTGATATGTGCAGATGTTGACAACAGCTCTTCTGATACTGCCTTCATTTCTGACAGTGGAGCATGTGTTAGAAATCTCTTCTCTCCACTTTATATTCTTTTGAAATAAAACTCATTCTGTTAAGATCCCTACTTGTGGACCACAGATACATATTTTTATGTAATCAAATGGACTTAATCAATGCAGTGTAAAAATTCAGGTCATCATGATGTAACAAAATCTAATCCTTCCCTGTTGCCATAGCATTGCAGATTCTTGACAGTACAGTACAACTTTAGGAAAATGTGCAAATTAACCATTAAGAGGTTGCTTATATCTAACTTTCATCTTAATGTTACCTCATGACATTTTTGTTCTTCCTTCTGTATGCTTAGGACACAAATTCCTCTTCCGTGATGCTTTTGGTGAGAGCAACACTAATCTAGACTGTAGACTTTTAGTAGTGAAGTATCCAGTGCTGCTGCAAGATAGTGCTGACAAGACCTGATCCTCCTTTTTTTCCTTGCCTACCAGATCCTGGCTAATATGCATATTTAGAGTTGTGCAGAATGCTGCATTTATCAGGCTGGATTTGAAACTGGCAAAAAATACACGTTCTGAACATGCATTTCAACATACGTTGTTTTCCAGGCTAAATTTTTTTGCCAGTGTTTCCCCATTTTGGAAGAATTGTTCCTTGTTAGAAGAAGTTAAGAAACCTCTATTTAAATTAAGATGTTTGAAAATGTATTGAAAGCTTGATGGGGGAAATAGCTAGACTGTCTAAAAGATATATCCATAAACTGCAATCTTCAACTTTAGTCTTGTAAAGCAGCTTCAGCCTCTTCTCTGCTATGCAGTGCTGTCGTTCTTCATGTCTCTGTGAATGTGCACAGGAGAATTTGGGGAAACGTAGTAAGTTGCACCCTGAAAAACTTCATGTACATTTTTGCACTGAAGTTAAATGTGGGTTTACTAAGTGGTGTTTCTCCTCATACTTACCAGCAGTGTGCCTCCCTGTCCTTCAGCAGTGCGCTTTGATTTTTCCTTCCAGACTGTTTTAGGAATGCAGGAGGCAGCTCTGTTGGCCCTGCCTGGCTGGTGCCTTGGTGTCATTTGTTTAGCATATAGATGTTAATTTGGAAGTGTGGGGAAATTTGTTGTGAAAGCTTAAAACCTGTGGGGTTGGTTAGTGTGCTGAAGCAGAGGGAAATGGCAACTGCTATACTGTACTGCTCCTCTTACCTTTTTCTTCGCTCTTTGGGATGTCTTTTTTTTTTAATGTGCAGGCTCACTGGAGTATGGGCTTCCCTGCAGCCTGCTGTGTTTTTCTTGGGCCTGCTCAGGGAGCGGGCTCATTTGTGTAATGATGCCATTTGTTAAAATCTTAACAAGTAGAGCTTGCCCCCAGCTATAGATTGTATTGAATTTTGTATGGTGTTTGTAGTGAATACTGTCTCCTTTGCTGCCCTTGGAACTAATAGAACATAAGAAAGATATCTCTCAGCAAAAGTCACAATCCTGACTCATCTTTCTGGCTTTGCAGCAAGTTGTGTAACTACTGCAGGTCATAAAGCTGTAACAGATCCTGAATGCAAAGAAGCTGCTTGAATGCAGGTGATTCAAGAACAGTTCTGATCTCCTGTCTTGTAACTTCTGCTAGTTTGGTTCCTGCATCTTTTCCCATACACTAACTGAAGGGATCAAATAATATTTTTTTCTGTTGCCCCCAAAATAGCATAAACTCTTTCCTTGGAGATTCCTTTCCTCTCCCTGTTCCCTTCACCCCTCTCCCTCCCAGAAGTGTGCTCCAAGAAGGAGGAAAGATCAGAATTAATATTTCTGTTATTTTCAGATGTCATAAGTTAGATAACACTGGGGATGCAAATATTCTAGACGTGTATTTTTGAATGCTGAACAGAAGCATCTCCCTCACACTGTGGACAGCATTTGTTGGCAAGCTGTAGTGAATCCTTGTTATCCTGCAACAAAACTGATGGTACATAGGAGCGCAGAGGCTCTCAGGTGCTGGCCACGAACCCAGTCTTCTGGTGTTCAGTAAGAACTGTTCTGTAGACTTCGGGGCACTGCTGCAAAGTTATTTGGTTTCAGTGTTGCTATTATGCGTGTAAATAAGGAGTCATCATCGTTCCAGATAGAGAAGCTGAGCAATTGCAGCATGAAGACCCTTGCTTTCTAATTGAGGCTCCTAGATTACACGTCAGTGCAGCTTTAAATGCAGGACCTTGTTCATATGACAACACAATCTTCATTGTGCACTTGCCTTTACAGGCTGAATTGCATCTTTTCACTACATACATCTTGTCTTTATCTGGCTCATCCTGCAGTTTTGGTTCCAAAAATAGACACTGTGCATGAATATGTACACACATGCGCTTTTCAGCTCTGTTACTTCTTTATAGATGACCTCCTTTACAGCAGTGATGAGCATCATGTAAGAATATTACTCATTCCTTTTGATACACACATAAAGCCATAAGCAGGGAAAGGCGTGTGAGTCTTACATTCAGTCTCAAAGCATTGGTTGTAAATGTGTCCAGGTTAGACACCTGCATTGCTCAGGACGAGAGGACCTGTGAAGTGTATTTGTGGTTGCTTGGGCTTCTGTTTCAATACCTAGAAATTCAGGTCATGCCAAACATAATTTAGCAGTAACTGCAGAAATAGTGATGTTTTGACATTCAGAGAAGCCACACAAATGCCACTGACTTGAAATGAATTTAATAGAAGTGGGAAAAGGCATGCATGTCCTAGACATCCCACACCTTCAGTTGTGCTGGGAGAAATCAGAGCCCATACTTGGATCCTCCAGGGAAACACATTGCATGAATGGGGGAGGATCAGGATTAATATTTCTGCTACTTTCAGATGGCAAAAGTAAGATGACATGAGGAGGGCAAACATTTTGCAGTGATGCACAGAAGCACCCACCAGACACACTGTCAGGATGTAGGAACTGGAATCTTCTGCTGTGTCCTGCAGCATTAAAACTTTCATGAATAACTCTGTATTTCATAACTATTTATCCTTGACCTGTGTGCAAAAAGAATGAAACACTTTGTTTCACGTGCAGCCTCTGGCAGAACCATGAATTTTAGAAGTAGTCACTCCATGTTAATCAGCAGAGTTGAATAGTTGGTGGAGGCTATTTTGGTCCCCAGTATTGCAGAGTCAATGGGAGGTTTTTTTGCGGGTGCATCCAAGCTGCCAACACATTCTGTTTTCAGTTACACAGGGAATTTCTAGAAATGATGAGAAGGAATTCCAAGTCTCTGCCATTATAATTTAGTTAACTCGTCATTATTTAGACTAGGAAAATACGGAACAAAGTTAATTCAGAAGTACAGTTCTTAATTGCTGTCAGTAACATCTGGAAGATATTTGGTATCTGTAAAACGTAACTCTAGATCTTGCAGGGTTATTCATTGTGCAGTGCTTATCATTTGATAAAACTCTGGAAACTGCTGTACATAGAGTTTAAACAATACCTGGGGGGTGAGGACAGATTTTTTCGTGGTATATCCACACTAAACTTCTTTGGCAGTAGGTGAAAGAAGATGTCCTCGCTCTTACATGTTGAGACTCCTGGCAATCCTTAGTGCTGAGTGTCTACACCAGAAAATCATGTTAGCCAATTGCCACTCTGCTAATTGTAGGTACAGATATACGCTGTCTTCTCCTCTGGCTGCTGTGGTTGCAGGCGTTAAGATTTGGAAACATGATTACAGTGTAACTGATGTAATGCAAAATTTTCAGGGAGCCTGAGGTTTAAAAACACCGACTCTTTTTCTGGGGATGCTGAGTCAAATGCCAGTGGTACTTTGAAATGTCAGTTTGTGAACTTATACAGTGCTTATTGAGCTGTAAGAAAAGGGAGAAGTCTCAGGGGGTCTGGCCTTTTAAGTATAAGGGCTGAATTTTAGCACGTGCCTTAGAGGAAGCAGATTAGTTGGAGAGAAATCTGTAGATGCCTCCAGATGGGATTGTGGCTGTGGCACTGCAGGGTAGGACTCTGTAGTGGTTTTCTAGTGTCTTTTTCAAGTGTTTAGCCTGTTGCCTCTTGCACTTTCCTGTAAGCTTACTCAGAGTTCTACCTGTCCTCTAGCTTGTTTTTGTGTGCGTGTCTCTAGAGCGTGTGGCTTTGGATGGTGCCTCTGGAGGATTTCCTTTCTGCGCCTTCGCTGGTGATGACCAGACCTGACCCTCTGGCTCTGGCCTTTCATGCACGTGTAGGCTGTCTCTCCTCTATTTCTCCACAGCCCCCTCGCCACAGTTTATTTGATTTTGCTTGGATTTCCCCTTGTATAAGTTCTGTCTGTCTTTTGGCTGTTAAATTCTCATAGTCTCCTGCCACCCCTTCTGTTTTTTGGTCACAAGTCAGCCCAAAGCACCCAATGGGCTCTTTATTTACAAGACTGCTTGCTTCGGGTCAGTGACATAGCACAGCAACATCATATCATCTCTCAGGAAGGCTGTGTGTGTAGTTGTGCAGTTCAGTCATAGCAGCCCCATGATCTTTTGCTTCTTCAACACTAATGCAACAAAAAGTGCAACAAAGCAGCTTCCCTTTGTGGTCAGGGAGTGCACCAAACCCTGTATTATTCAGTCATTGTGACTTTATGCTGCGAAGAGCATGGTTTAAGCTGCCCCAGACTTTTTTCCTATTTGTCTTTGAATTAGATTAGCTGGTATTCTTGAACAGTGTAGCCGATGTTCTTCAGCAAGGCATGCCTGTCCCACCCCTCCTCATTCCCCACGCTTATAGTAGAAGTTGGATCTGCTGTGAGGTCATGTTCAGAATGCTGGAGTCCTGCCCAGACCCATCCTGGGGTTCTCTGCCCAGTGTAATGCATTTGTGTTTTTTTCTTTTTCTTTTTTTTTTTTTTTTTTACAATTCTTTTTAAGGAAAATGCAAAAAACGAGGAGATGGTTTGAAACTGGAAAATGACCCTCAGGAGGTGAGTCACCTTGAATGCAGATGTCTGCCTCTTAGCGGGAGGCCTCTAGTCCACCTTTGGTCCATGCAGAGTAAGTTCTATATTTGTTTCTGCTTTAAGGCCGGCCTGGCAGGTGGATGAGGGGCACTGTGATCCCTGATGCTCTTCACTCTTTTGCCTGTGCATTTTATCCTTGTTCGTGCCCTCACCACAACTTTCCTGTTGTTTTCCATTCTGTCTTTTGGGAATGACTGCACCCCGGATGTTTACTCGGTAGCTTTGTACCTGTCTGCACATGGGCAGTGGCAGGAAGTCATTTTGTAATGGACTTCTTGTGGGACCTGAAGAAGTCACTTGATGCCATGCTCTCTGGCTGCTCCTTAAAACTGGGCTAATAATTACCTTTTAACACCCTTTGAAATATAGAGGAGGAAGGGGCAATAGAAGTGCTGCCTAGCGCGTAAAAGTAAACAGAGTAGCTTCCTCAAGGCTCTTGCACGAATGTGTCTCCTTTGGATCTTCTGCTGTAGAACAAAGTGCTGTATGGGAGACCATACTACCACATTCCCCAGACCACATTTGGGCTGCCAGTGAACTTCCATGGCATTTCTTTCAAAAGATGTGTGATTTTATCCTCAGGAAAAATTCAGTTTAAAGGCACTTGATCCCATGATCTCTGCTGCAGCTCTTAAAGAGCTTTATTGCTCCTGTTCACATGTGAGTGCCCTTCGGGGCTCAGCGCCTGGACAGTCTGCTGGTGCTCGCTCAATAACCACTTTGTTGAAATTGATGGGAAAGGCAGCATCACTGATACGCAGAGAGCTGAGCACTCGGTTCTGGGGATGGGTCAGGGCAGTGGAGAGTTACTTGTTGCACTAGGGTACCAGTCCTGCTCAATCTGTGCGGTCAGATTAGGGGAATTTTCTTTAAAAATATTCTCCTATGGGAAAAAGCCTCTATGAGAACAGGTATGACAGCTGCTTTTTCCTTTGCAAACGTGGGTGCATTTTCCACTCCTGGGAAATGAGTGAGAATTGTTCCATAGGCACGAAATTGCAACAGGAGCCTTGGAGGTTGAGTTGTGACCAGTACTGTACTTTGCAGCGTGCAGAGTCCAAATGATGAAAAACAAATCAGGTACTAATAAATACTTTCAGCCCTGCACAGGAGAAACTCAGTAGAAACTACATCCTGGCTTTGTGCACCAGAAGTGTTAGAAGTACAGTCAATATTTGGGTCAGCAAAGAGATGGAATGGGAGCTGTGTCCTCTGTCCTCCATCCTGTAGCTTATATGGAGTTATCCTGTCAACATAGGATTTTGGGGGAAAGAGGAGGTAGGTTTTAGCATTTGCTGTCAGACATGTTTTTTTCAGAGACTGTCAGGTGCTTCACATCCTCCTCCTGTGGGCAATGGAAGCAGTGAACCACCAGGTATCTTGCTTAAATGATGATGATGTGAAATCCAGGGGTACTTCTTATAGTGGCAGTCACTTCAGAAAATTTGCCTGTTCAGCACTTTATCAGTTGTGTTCTGTAGAAGCCTGAAGTTGAGTCACGTTATTTACTGCTTCTTTTGCCTTTATTTCCTCAGGCAGAGTCAGAAATGGCTCTGGATGCCGAGTTCCTGGATGTCTATAAAAACTGCAATGGCGTAGTGATGATGTTTGACATCACCAAACAGTGGTAAGACATCTTCAGTGGCATGCACCACGTGATTCTCGTTTGTTTAGTAAAAACAAATGACCTGGAGACCTCTTGATTCCCGACAGACTCTGGAGCTGATAACCAGCCTAATGAGTTGAAGCAAGCTTGTATCTCTTAAAATAATAGCTTTATCTTCTGACATGTCTTTTAATATACTCCTCTCCTGGGCTTGTTTCAAACAAGCAGTCTCCCTGTGGGCTTGTGTACTGCAGTTTCTGATACACTGCTGTCTGAGGCTTGATAATTAGTGCTATCACAGGGGCAAAGTATGCTGGGCCTGTTACAAACCCATGCTCTACAGAGCACAAGGGAAAGCGGAATGCTAGTGAGACATTCCCAGGAAGATTGGGTTTAGTAAGGATTATTTAGAGGCCCTAGGCTGCATTAATGTACAGAAATAATGAACTGTTAATTTTGCACATCTACTGAGGAGGGTGAGTTCCTGCTTTATATTTAAGCTTGTGTTTTACAGGTTTCGTATGGGTCAGTAAGCCCATTGACAGCTGAAGGGAAGGAATCCTTTTTTTCTGCTGACCCCATACAGTTTTGTAGGACTAAGGGAAATATTGCTATAGGAGATGTGAGGTTGCTGGTGGACGTGGATTGTTGAACTTATCAAATTGTTTTTGAATAAAGAGTGATACAAACATATTTACAGTTAATGTATTTCTCTGAGAGTGGCAAAGAAGCCACAGTCCTGGAAGGATTTTGGAAAAAAATTTCTTACTTTGTTTTTTTTTCTGTGATTTGTGCATGAAACTGATCACAGAATGACGTTTCCCACTCATCTGCCTGTACCTCTCTCTCCTATGGTGAAGGACATTTAACTATATTCTGAGGGAGCTTCCTAAAGTGCCGACCCATGTTCCAGTGTGCGTGCTTGGGAATTATCGAGACATGGGGGAGCACCGGGTCATTCTGCCTGGCGACGTGCGGGACCTCATTGACAATCTAAACAGGTAAGATGGCACCACAGTCACCAGGCAGGGGAGCAGACCTTGGCTACTCTCTGTCATCAACCATAGATAACTGTATTGCTGCCGTGTTTCAGATGTACATCACGTTCATTCTTGGACCCTGTGCCTAGCTTTTGGACTTTTGTAGCTCTGAGTGTCTCATACAGCATCTTCAGTTTACACGATGGGCTCTTTTTCCTTTGATCTAGGGGCCCGTACTGGGCAGATGGTTAGCTATATTCCTGGAAACAGTGAGTGCCTGCCAGCACGTGTCTTTCAGAAGTACTTTTCAGAAGAAGTCATCTTCTTTCTGGAGAGTCCTCTTGTGAAAGAATCCTCTCCCTGCAGCACAATTGTTCTCTACTGCAAATAATTCTGCTAAAAGGGAGCCAGCTAGTGCAGCTGTCTTCCTTGCTCTTCCTCTGAGAGCATCCCCACGCAGCATTTACTGGGCAGAGCCAAGTCATACGCCTCCCTTGCCAGCCAGGCAAGATTCTCCCTTATGCAAAGATATGAGGCTCTCTGTTATTTAGTATAAAACATTATTTGTTGTTCAGGATTTGATAGATTGTACCTTTTTGTGTGGTTTTATGTTTTTAAGGCATTTTTTTATTTTCCTAGTCTCTTATTTGTTTGTGCCTGTGTTAGGCACACAGAAATGGTATCAGTTTTAAGGCTTGATTCCGTAATGTAGTAATTTCTTTACAAGGTCATCTCTATATGTGAGTTCGCTGAGTTTAATGCCCACTGTTGATGCTTGTGACTTAACGTAGGTCTGTTTGTCGTTTTAAAACAAAACCTTCACGGAGAAATGAGCAGCTTGTACAGCTGTGAAACCCCCAGTTTAGTAAACCAATGGCCCAGTGTCTTGACATAGTATTTCTTAGTCTGGCAGCCCCATGAAACTGCAACACAACAACAGCTGCGTTCTGCCACCCTTCAGGAGGAACAAAGTGTGAATTTTGTCTGTAAACAAAATAACAAGTCCCTAGCAGAATGACCTGCTGGCCTACATTTGGGGATTGAGGAGCTGGCTTGTAAATGAGGATTGTTCATGGTATGTAGTTCAGCACGTGCTGCTTCTGTGTGTGTATGCGGTCCTCGTCCTTTGTACAGTTTTCTTCTCTCTACCTATCTGGTTGAGACAGGCCTCCCGGCTCCTCATATTTTCGCTATGCTGAGTCTTCCATGAAGAACAGCTTTGGCCTCAAGTACCTGCACAAGTTCTTCAACATCCCCTTCTTGCAGCTGCAGGTAAGACAGAGGGTATTTCCCTGATGTGCTGGGTGGGTGGGACAGATTTCATTTTCTATGTCTCTAAGGCAGGAATTTGGTATTTGGGGTTTCTTTTGTTGTTAAGGGATCCTGAGTAGATTTTTGTTTTCATAAGAGTTGTTAACAAAACTAACAAAACTGTTGGTACGTTGGTGCTTGTGACTTAAACACGTCTCTGCTTGCGAGAGGACTCCTCTCTGCTGTGTTCGCAAATGCTTACCTCTGGAGAAAGACTCCAAGGTGATGAATAACACTGGCAAGAAAATTGCACCCAGTGCTGTAGTTACCAAGTAAAAAATTTTACATATGCACATTTGTTAAACTTTGTATTTAAATTCTGTTCAATTAAAACTCAGATGAGAAGAGATTTGGTCGTGAACTGAACAGTTCGGGGACAACTGTTTGCTGAAGATCTTTGCCCTAACAGTAACTGATCTGCTTGGATCATATGCACATAGATCCAAGTCTCCTATTTCCTTCACACTTGAGGCTTCTTGGGTGGACTGAGTGGGAAGGCAAAGGCTGAATAAGCATGGAAGCGTGGAATTCTCAGCTGTGGTCTTTTAGAAGAGGACCTTGCGGGGTGATCATACAGGAGTCCTTTGGGATCAACATCATACGTTTTCTGGGGGTACATATGATATTGTATCATTGTTCTCTTCTGGATGGGAAAAAACAGGCAGTTGATCTTGATTATCTTTCACCAGTAATTGAAATGTCTGTGTGTATTTTTGTACAAATAATCCCCACTGAAATGCTAGTTCAGAAGAAGCTCGGATATATTAGTGGATGTTACCACGTCCTCAGGCTGCAGAGCAGAAAGAACAAGGATAAGAAAATTGAATGTGTAAAAAACAGTGAAAAAAGTCAACCAATAAATTTTTGAGGAGGAAGTTGTAGAAATCTGAGATATAAACCCAACTTGCTGCTGAGTGGAGAAGATTGAAATCTACCAGCATGGTTAAATGGTTGGTTAAATGTTTGATTTTATAACCTTGGCTCCTGTGGTAAAGTGATGTCCTGTGGAAACCATGCAGAATAATTAGTTCCCAGGTTACTTTTGTCGGTTTTACAGATCTCTCCTTTTTTTCTCAAATAGATGTTGATAAGAGACACAGACATTAGCACAGCCTTCCTGCCAGATTTGTTTCTGAAAGCTGCTCATAATGATAGTGTTAATAATCAGTATATGCGATGATTTTCCTAGCCATAGGTATAAGCAGGAAATACTGAAGCATTTGTTGTATCAGGTTTGCTTGGAAGCAGCTTTAGGATGTGAGTCTTAGGGGACTTTTCATTTAAATGTGCTGTGTATAAGTAAACATGATCTATTAATTCGAGACTGAAAGCAATTAGGACACTTAGATGATGTAATTGGCACCAAAGCCAGAGAACTTCTTAGACAAATCTTGGTCTTCAGGAAAATAGGAAAAATAAATCTGTTATAACCTTTATGTGTTTGGAGAGTCCAGTGATGGTTACTTAGGAGAGGTGAGGGAGATGGGGTGACCAGCCAACATTTACTCTCCTGTTTAGTGGGCTCGGGGTAGCACTGGGGGTAGTCCAAAAGGTGCGGGTGCCACATAATTAGACTCCCAAATCCTGTGTTTTTCATGTAATGTAATTAAATAATTCAACACTGCAGAAACAAACCTGAAAAGACTTCTCATTACAGTTTAGTTCCCAAAATGTGCAAGGGGAGATTTGGGTGGGCCCATGTAAACCATGCTTGTAAATATGTTTGCTCTGTTCTTTGTACATCGACACAGAAGGTGGCAGTTGAGGAGGTTGTCCTATGCCTGTCATTCAGAGAGACAGTGATCAGACCATAGCTGCCTGGCTTTTCCTTTAAAACAGCAATGCCAAAACTAATTCCTGCAGTTTTATGCTCATACAGGGATTGCAGATGGGTGCTTTTCTGTGCATTCTGAAAAAAATCACAGCATAGGATGCAATGTGGAGATGGCTTGTTTCATTTCCCTCTGGTGCGCAGGAGATCCCTGGCCTTGCCATTCTGTGCCAAGGCAAGTGACACTGCAAATTTGGAGGCTTTTGGTTGCTTCCCCCAGGTTTTGGGCCTTTACTTGATGTCAAACTTCAGCCAAGATGTGCTGCACTTAGTTTTTCCAGTGCCGCTTGCATTTGTGCCACAGGTTTATTAGAAGAGCTCGGTGCTGCTCCACAGTAGCTGCTGCTGGGTGGCTCTGGGCGTTTTGCTGCTCCTGGAGACCCGCTGGGAGTCTTGCCTTTGAGTGCACGGGGAGCCAGGACTGGCCCCGCTGGGCCTGATTAACAACCAGTGCAGCATGATGTTAAAATTTGTAGGAAAATCACAGCTAGACTTAATTCCTAAAGGTTCTGTTTATACCTTCAGAGAGACTTACCAGTAACAGGCTCCAGAAAGGAGTCATTTCCCTGGTACTTAGGTGCAAAGCAGGGTTAAAGGAGAGGAATGCTATCAGGTATTAAATGCACATATGATTTAATCAGTCTCAGTTGACTTCTGAGGTTTCTCTGTGTTTCTCAGCCTAGCGTCCCGCAGCTCTCAAGGGGAAGAGGAGTTGTTCAGCTGTATGCAAGATTCCACGCTGTCCTTTAGTGGAGTTGGTGTTCAGTGCATTGGTTTTAAGTTGCACATTTCTGTGTTCAGCTTACATTCATGCATCTTTCATGAAGAAAGCAGTGGCTGAAATTCATACCCTTGGTGTAGAGCACGTTCCCTCTAGCAGCCCGGGCTCTTCAATTATTTATCAGTTCCTTTCCAGGGGAAGGATTGTCAACCCTGAGAATGCAGTTTAGCTGTAGGTATTGCTGGTGGCCCACATAATGTGCAAATGTGATCAGGTCAACCAGGCCTTCAGATGCTGCACTAGAAGGAGACAAAATTCTGCAGGTAGCTGAAATTGCCTTTTCCCAGGAAGCACTTGAAAGTGGCATTCAGCCAAAGCGTTGGTCTGTAGCACATGATTTATTCCCTTCTTTTGGGTCATTGCTAAAAATAGGCTGTTTCTTTAATACTTTAATTCCAGCATGGTAAAATAGAATTTATTTTTTAAGTATTTGGCAGTCCATTATTAGTCATGAATTTTTACAAAATTAAATGCAACTCTTTCTCAATTAAATCTAAGTTCTTAATTTAATGTAATCTGTGAAAATTGAAATAAATACAACTCTGGTATATGTCTTACTGCCAAAGCATGAGGAAAGGCAAACCACTTGTTTAATAAAAGCCATTATCTAAGTGCCTAAGGTAAGCATTGCAGAGCAGTGTCCCTTCTGTCTCTGTTTATTCAGCTAATTTGCGCAGCATTTATTTCACTCATCTTAGGAAACTGAGGACAAAGAAGCAGAAAACTCATTTTTGCTTACACTGTATAAATAACATAAACGGATGAAATCTATTACTTCTAAAATCTTGAATTTCTTGAATCTTGAATTCTAAAATCTAGAATTACTTCCAAAATCTTGATTAGTATTCTTCTGTTTAGTGTAGCAAGTTTAAGTATGTATAGCATGTTTTGCTGAAACTTTCTTGTCTGATACCACAATAAAGAGAATTTGAGTTAACTAATGACTTCATAATTCTTTGTATACATGTTAATTGAAGTCAAGTTTCCATCTGCGTAGAGCTTATGAATATGATGAATAAAAATTACCTAGCAAAGGAAATATGGATCACTCCAAGCTCTTAACACAATGACAAAGGTAAAAATGAAGAATCTAAATGCCTTGGAAGCAGTAAATTAGCTTAAATGATCATAGAAGCTCTTAAATTTCAAGAAAGACTGTATCTTCCAGTAAATTAGCATGTTTAAATGTTACCAACTGCTATGAATCACCTGGTCTTATAATGCAAAATAAAAATTACTTAAGCCTTGCTTGCTGATTTAAGTCATGGTAGAATTTTATATAAATCAGCCTGCCCCATGAGGGCTCAAGCTGTGCCCTGACTACTCCCCTGGGCAGAGTAGCATGGTGTGTTTTATATAAGGCAGATGGGTTATTTGCTCTTTGAATTTGTACACTTTCTTGGTAGCTCCAAAGCTGTCATGTCTATGAAACTATATTGTCAATAGTATATGCACGTGGAGACTGAACGCCATTGCTTTATACAAATGTTTGTCTTCCCATAGGGATTTTATTCTGTAAATTATGTAGTAGATTTCCTTTTGTGCTTTTTACTCTAATGGGATCTTTCTGCAGTGAGCATATGTGTTGTCAAACATGGAATTAAAAATTCACCATGGTTGTTGACGCTAAACTTCAAAAATGTTTGTCATAGTAGAAAGCTTAAATGTGTGCTAAGAATAAGGCAGTTATAAAAGCAAAAAACTTTGCAGTTTGGAGGAAACCTGGGGTTTCTCTTCTATCTCCTCCTGTCTGGGTGGTGGTGCAGCTTGGCAGCCCGTGGCACTGGTGGACCCTGCTTTAACGGGCACTGCAGCGCCGTGAGTCATCGGACCTGTCTCAGCACAAGCTGTCCCTGCTTCCTGTGCCATCTAGTATGTAGGCAGTGGGAGAGGGAGGACTGATGCTTTCAGGCACTGAACATCGTGACTTTTGACTCAAGAATTCGGTGTTTAAACTGACTCGCGTGCCCCTTGCTCAGAGCCTTCCCAGGAGGCAAGCAGGGTGCCCGTGGTGGGAGCCTGGCCATTGCCAGTGCCCAGCAGTGACAGCCGGCTGCCTCTGAGCAGAGGGAGGGGGGTCTGGTGCAGGGATTTGTATCGTGGAGCGAGGCGGTGGCCACAGACAGCTCTAGTCTTGGCCAGGGGATCCTGAATCATGTTTCTGCAGAAACGGATGCTGTGTTAGCTCTGTGGCTCGAGGCCGTCGCAGAGCTAGGTCTGCCGGGCAGATGGGTGAGGAGGCTGGTGCTAGATCCACTGCAGGTGAGCCTTTGGAGCTGGCGATGCCTGTGCAGTGTCAGCATAATACATGTGGTTATTGATCTCTTCTCATTGCCATCCGGGCTATCGGGAGGAGTGTCCCATGACCATTTGCAATTGATTTTGAGCCTTTTAAGCCAGCACTTCCCCTCAGCTGAGGTTTTTGCTTGGATTCTGTTGGAAATGTGGAAAGGGAAGGACTGAATTAAGCTACCCTGTGTTACATTAGTGAAGCCAACTCACTTTACTGTGCACTTGAAATGGACTGGAGTGGGGCAGCAACTGAAGGCAGAGGGACAGTGACTTCTAAATTTTCACTGAGTTGACAGGTTGTGCTCACTCATCTACCCTGAGAGTAAAAAGAAAATTATTGTGAGGTTTTGCATCAGCTGGGTCCTACTCACAGGGGGACTTCTTTAAAAAGGAAAAAATAAAAGATCAGAATGAATGGGTTGCACAACTGTTCTCCGCAGGAGTTGATACTGTTCTCCAAATGCAACTGGCGATGCTGTGTCTGAAAATCACACATTATTGATTTATGGTTGAGTATAGCTCGCAGAACAAATTACTTTCTTACACACAGACTTTCTGGATTAACATACTTTTTTTACTGCTTCTGCTTCCCTTTTTGCCTCTGTATTTAAACTGAACACTGTGAGAGGGTCCAAAGCTCCTGTTTAATTCATTGCTGTGGGTAGAGTGATGACACAAGATCTTGCTGCACCCTGTGAGCACACAGAGATCTGTTACAATGACCCTTCCTGCTCAGACCCAGCTTGTTTTCCTTTCTTCAGAGGGAGACGTTGCTACGGCAGCTGGAGACGAATCAGCTGGATATTGATGCAACTTTGGAGGAGCTGTCAGTGCAGCAAGAGACAGAAGATCAAAACTACGAACTGTATGTCATTGAGCCATCTTTTCTAACTGTCTTTTGCAATCTAGGTGTCACATGAATGTTGGGCAGCCCCAGCTATGGCATGTGGCCAGACTGAAGGGTCCAGCGAGTGACATTTAGGGTTTCTTTGGATCTTGCTTTTAAGTGGCATCACCTGAAATAAAGCGTGCACTTGGGGATCCTTGTGAAAGGGTCTGGTTCCTACAGGCACGTGATCTATGGGAGGGCAAGTGGAGGTGGAGCTGGGCAGCACACCTGGAGGCAGCACATGCTGAAGGGATTGTAGATAAGTATGTTGCAGCCTCTAATGCTGAAAGGGGGTATTTTCCATCTCTCTACTGCTCAGAACACAAGTTGATTCCTCCTCTTCTGGCTATTGCATTCCTGTGCATTGTGTGTCTTATGATAGGCAGAAAGTAATACTTCTAGACTCCTCAGTGCATTTCTGGTTTGAAATAGTGGCTAGTTCCTGCTGCCTTGTGTTTGTTCAGTGCCCTGTCTGTTTGCTTGCTGCTTGAAATGAGCTTTTGCCAGATTTAGCCCTGCAAAGTCAGTACATCTGTAGCGCAGTGAACAGGAATCTCTTCAGATTTGTATGTTGTTGACAAATGTGTTCCGTGAATTCCCATTGCAAGGTCTTTATTGCAGTAGTGTGCAAGCCAGAAAAGTCAACCTCAGAATGAATTGGGAAAAGATTCTTTACAGGCAGCCTTATTTGGAAGTTGGAATCAATGATTATGAAATATTCATGCACAACCATTTTGACAAGCATTTTTCAGACCAAGTTTCAAGTTCTTTAACCTTGGTCAGTGCGTTTTCCTTTGTGAGAGCATTGAAATACCCCATATACACACAAAGCAGTACTGTTCCCAGAGTGTTCACCTCATTCCTTTCCTTAGGGACTGGTTAGTCTCCTCATCCCTTCAGCAATTCTCTTGATGTCCCTAGTCAAAGGACCGGGCTGTGTGGGCTGTGCTGTCAGATTGTTTTCCAGTACTTTTGTTTGTACTGCATCAGTAATGGGAATATACTTAAAAGAATCAAGAGTTGGCAGAGCTGTTCCAAACTTATGCCAGAAGATCTTGCTACTTAGTCACCTCTCACCCTTACACCAGCTTTAGCATTTGCTGGACCCTTGCATGTGCCAGTTCAGCTCACAAATCCAGCAGAAAACTTATCTTCTGCCATACCTACTTCTGGGTTAATCTGAGTTGGGCTGGCTCTGAGAAGCATCTGCTTAACACCAGAACGTAAAGGAAGCAGCAGCAGTATGGGGCCGGCAGAGGTGGAATGGCAAGATCTCCTAGTTCCAGCAATGGATATTAGACTGGATCATCCCATCCAGTGTAACCACACCAATGTGCACCATTTTGTAATATTGGTGTGCTTCCACTGCCAGAGAGTACCCAGTTCTGGGTACATGC